TCCCACCAATCATCCCACCAATCATCAGTTATTTACTGATTAGCTAAAGGTGTTGAAATCAAAGATATGGCCACATTTTAAACAATGTGGCAGCCATTAAGACAAAAAGTACCATAAAGTGTCAAAGCCATTCTTGAATGGAGGGTTTCTCCTTTTGTGTGCTCTATGATTTGTTCCACAGAAATTTAGCAAAAATTCAGTAAGGTGTCATATTTTTCTGGCATGTTGCAATGCTTTATTAAAACTTCTAATGCAGATGTAAAGCCAAATTCTTCCAAGTAAATGTTTTTAAAAATTAAATTAATAACAAATAAACAACATAAATTTGGTCAGCTAGATAACATATTTGATAAAATTTTGGCAGTCCTTGAATTTCCAAGGCCTTTTTAGGATTTCTTTCTATTTTTTACTAAATAAAACTCTTAATTTTCTATTTCTTTGGTCACTTTTCTCAAAACAAAAATTTTACTAAATATTATTAAAGCACTAAAAATTCGACGCTATCTCAAAATAAGAGTAAAGGAAGTTTATAATGCCTTTCCTTGTCTAAGAATACGATGTATTAAGTTTGCTAACAGTGCTGTTAAAAGAACGAATCTAATTGGACAACGATTAGTTTGTGCATTATCGATAACGCACCTCAAGTATTTCCTTATCGGCGATTCTATAATCGATAGTCACTCGTTTATTCTGTGTTAAGCTCTCTTCCAACATCCGGGTAATTTCGCGGTTCTTGTTGCCATGGGGAAGCTTAAGGTTTTGGTACATCTCTATTCCCGTATACACACTGACCACGTGACGTTCCCAGGCGATACTCCACTCGATCCCAGGCTTCATCACCACGCCTCGTATCTCCATGATCTCGGCCTCGTCATCATCGTCATCGTCTTCCGCTGTGGCCTGGTCTTTTCTCTCTACGTCTCGATTCATTTTGAACATTCAATTGTCGAGCTGAAATTATATCTACGGAAACATTTAAAGCAAGAGTAAATATTGCAGATATAAATCATGAATCATGGCCGTAAATCACAGCCAACAATCTAGACTGATTTTTGTTGTGAAACTTTTGGTTGCAACCTTGAATATAGGGGAAGGGAATGAATGAATTTCTGCAAGGACGGTTGACAAAAAACGATAGGAAAGAGAGTGTGGAGGGAGGGAGGGAGGGAGATGGGAATTCACCTTCCCGCCTAACTGTAACCTTGCCCAAAATATAGTGTCCTATGAAATTTTTTAGTCGGCTGTCGAAATAACACTTTTTTTTAATCACACCTTCGTTATTGTAGTGGCTAATGCTTTTAAAGTCGTCGGTATCTTTAGTGTCGTCATCAATATTGTGCTGTAAGGGTAAAACCTTATCATGGTTAATTATATTAGATATGGTCTAATGTACTGTTTATCTGGGAGAGTTTAATTAGTTTATAAAGCGATAAGAAAGCGCTGTTTTCGTTGGAACGTTTCGTAAGAAAAGTCCTCTCGTTTCTGACTACGTACAACATCGTTCTCTAGTTGCAACGGGTGACGGCCGAATGACTACTGTATTGTAACAAGACCCTTAATTTCTTAGATCTCACTTAAAAGCCGTCAGACGGGTGACATAAACATTCGTGGAATTTTACCGATTAATCATCGGAATTTTGCACTTTACGAAGGTCACAACCAAAGGTCACGAAATGACGGATAGCAATAGATTACGAAACGTCAGAAAGAGTCAAAATAAGGCGCTTTTATTTATAACTCATATGCAAAATATACTGTGGAAGTTTGAACTGTTATGCGCCGAATGAGTTCGACGAAATTGAGACCGAAAAGGAGCTGCACTAATTGCTGCCAAGATTAACTATGTTTGAATTCAAAATAAAAGTTTAATTGTAATCTATTGATCAGATCTCAAAATCCTGTAAATAAATGCTGTATGTTTGGATTTTTCTGATGAGCACTGCCACTTTATTGTGTAACCTAAACATTGGACGATTAGCGGTTTACGGACTCAACATAAGGAGGAATCATACTGCCTTACCTACGTGTTTCGGTGTGAACTGCCAAAGAGAAACTATCGTAACAGCTTTAGCGCTGATATGCTATATTCGGGCGGGGTAAATTAGGAGCTGTCTGTATACCATTATGTTAGCATTAAAGTTATCTGGCGCTCATCGCTGTTGTTAAACCTAGGCAATTTAACCCATTGGAACTTTTCTTGGAAGAGTTTTCAATTCTCTCTCATCTCTGTTAAGTCCGACTCATTGTACTTACAACTGCTTCAGTGGCAGATGATCCGTGTATTCCCTCAACATCCAATAGCTTTTGACGGTTCGATGGTTATGCGAAAAACATTCGGGTCTCTTCAGATGTATAAATAGCGTGTGATGACAGGTATGAAAACACCGGCTTAGTTCAATGATCGATAGTTATTCGGTTCTTAACAAGTGAACATGAAAGCATGCGGCTTTTTGACGATTTCAAAGAGATATCGTGAAAGTTGAAGGAGCAAAGAAGTAGCATTTAAAAGAAAGAGGGAACCGTTTGTTTTGGTTAACAAAGAACTTGTCGATATAAGGGACAGAGAGGGTAGAGTTGTTTGGAAGAGTCTCGAAAAATCAGAATCTTTTCAGAATAATTATAATTAGGAAACTCTCTGAAGGTGGTTAGCCTCGAAAAACACCTCAAACTGAAACGTCGAATCTTATTGATCAAACACTTCGCAGCATAACACATGGAAAAACGGGAGAACACAAGAAAAAAAGACAAAGTTGCTAAAAACGCTTTTTATTGTTTATATCCAGAGGCAATAACAGCTTGTAAATTGTATTCATCTAAAAGAGGATGCATGAGAAAGACTGAATGTGCCATTTGTTTTTGGCTTGGTCATAAAATAATAACCCTCAATATTATTTTTCGCAACTTCGAAAATCCCTGGAGAATCTTTAGAACCTATTCCTGTGTCAAGAATCAACATATGCTGGTTCTTTTATAGATTACTTTCCACGAAAACAGGCAAAGCAAAGTTAAGCAATGCTTATGTCGCGTTATTATCAGGAGACCAAATGACCTTTCAACAAGGGCGTAGCTAATGAGGAGGGGGTCTCGGGGTGTGCCCGTGACTCCCCCTTTGTAAGCCTTTTTTTTTGTTACATTGGGTAAAACACGGCGTAGAGGTCGACATGACAATCTAGTGTTTACCTTCTGTTTGGCACAGTGTGACCCCCGCCCCCCTTTGAAAAATCCTGGCCACGCCCCTATTCAATATAACTTTAAAATGATCTGAGGAATGAAGGGTCCATTTTCTTGCTCAGTCAGCGCTATTAATCACATTCGTCAGAACCTAATTTCAATCAGGTAGTTCATAATCTAGTAGCCTCGTTCTCAGGCTAGAAGTTCCATGTAATTATCTTCTTCTTGGCTCGCCACTTGAACGGAATTCTGGTCCGCAGCTGGTGTCGAGCATGGGCCGGCTGCGTCCATTTGATGTGATGGAGGGCCCTGTGCTGGTTTTAGCGTTTCATATAAATTACTGATTGTTGCCGATGACGTAGGCGGTGCCTTAGCACTCGTCACTAACCTGCTATCATCAACAATATCAACATAATCGGGAATATCTTCGTTTGCATTCTCATTGGTGCTCGGGCCCTGCTCGACCAGGGAAGGCTGGACTTCTTCTGGGAGTCTATTTCGCAGCTGTAAATGTTCGTAGCGATTCACCTTTCCATTCCCATCATCCTTACTGTGTTCCAATCCTTTCGGTTTAAGAGACTGGTAACTAGCAGCCCTAACTGATTTTACAATCTCCTTCCTTTCTGCGTGTTGATTGGGCGACTTTTGGGGTCCGTGTTCCATAATTTCTATGTACTCCTCGGACATCGGATCTAATACACATGATTGCAGCCGCTGATAAACATGTTGCTCCATCTCCCACTGATCAGCGGCTGCTTCTCTCGATAGTTGTTTAGAATTTTCATCTTCACTTGGGTCGGCCGGCTTGATTCCGTTTTTCTGGATTAGTAAGTTATTTTGTCTGATATTAGTAGACGGTTCTGTGCAAATGTCGCTCTGTATCCCCAAATTGTCTAGCCCTGCTTGTGATCCAGTTCTTCTTGATAAGGTGCTCTGTTGCACGGCCGTCAAATGACGTTTTTTCTTTCGTTTTCGTTTGCAGCACACGTAGTAGATTAAGCAGACGTTTACAAGGCAGGATACTCCAAGAAGAAATCCCAAGACTATCATGATGATTATAGGCAAAACTGTTATGAAGGCAAATACAAAATTTCATCAGGGGTTAATATTAACATATTGGATATCTTACCCCACTACCTATCGTCTGTGGGAAACGTAGTTACTTACTGGCTGGATCTAAGATCATCAGATTAGGGTTCGAGCCTTGGCCGAGTTATTGAGTTGCACTCTGCTCTCTCAGAGCTGCGCTGCCCCTCGGAGAGTAAGTGGTACCGGCAATATTGCAGGGAAACTTGACGAGATGGTCTGGGTTACCTGGGAAGGTTAGCTTCTCATTGAGGATAATCAGAAATGATTCTAATAAATTAATGTTCAAAGGAAACCACAATAACTCCAGCAGTAGCAGTTTCCGGTATGCTCGTAAGGCTTACGAACTTGCCCCCCCTAAAGTTGATTATAGTAACAGACCTTTCAGTTGGCAAAAGGTTTACCTCCCTTACAATGTAGAGGTTTAAAACAAACAGGACTTTGTTACATATTACTTTCTTTATGAGGGTAGCAGACAACTCCCACATCCATGCTGTGGTCACATGACTCATTGACGTCATGCTTTTTCCATACGTCGTATTCGCATTCTAGCAGTGATCTCTCCCTCCCGGTGCACTTCACATCTTTAAGAAATATAGGTCCTGTGCCTGCGCTAAAGCCAGCCATGGGGACAGCGGCCACTGCAAGCGGAAAGTCTAGCTGTTTGCATATGACAGTGGCATCATCTTTGGTCCAGTGCTTGTCGCAAATTGTGCCCCAGCTCTCCTCGTCGTTGCTTATCTCCACTCGTCCAGCATAAGAAATACTGGAATCTCGCAAACGGACGTAAACTATCGCAGAGTAAAGAGCAATCAGTCAAAGCTTGTAGAGATTTCATTAATGTGACCACTTCCAATAGTTTGTTAAGATGAAAATCTTAAATTGCTTTAACCACTTTTAAGCTCTTTCGAGTAATTTTTCTCGTTGTTTTACCATAATTTACTTGATAAAACAACCTATTCAGAGTTTGATGCGGAGTAGTTCCTTTAAATACCTGGCTTCAAATCATAAACAGTTGACTGTAATAGCATACGACTATTCAGACTGCATATAAGTTCATTTTTTAAATATACTGGTGTTAAGTCACCCACGAAACTAAGTCAAAATCCTAGACACACTGGTTTACTATTTTTCCTTGTTTAAATAGAATGAACTTAGGTCACACAGAGTAATAGCTACAACCTTGCACAAAAAATAGAAATTTTGACGCCGCCTCTCGCTCATTTCATGTATCGTTAAATCGTAACTTTGCGCAGGAAGGCGGTTACACTTTTTTTTTTTTTTGCCCTTTTACACTAAACCAGCAGTTTATCTTTCTGATATATTGATGAATTCTTACAACTATCATAGATCTGAAAGGTTAAATATACTGACCCCAATCTCTTCTAGCGCTCAATACACGCGCACCGCCCCCAAAATGTGGAAGAATTTAAATTACTTGTGAAGAAACGGGTTAAGAATTTTGTTATTTGGGCTGATTCCTGGTGCTTATTTTGAAAAGAAAAACTGACCTCAGCATATCCTAATTCTATTAAACTTTTATATTTAACGGGAAGGGCCACTCATCCAGACTGACGAATGACACATTTATAATGGTTAAATCTGTTTCATATTTCTTGGGCAAAGAACTATTTTTGAAATTCTTGTCCTCAACGGCTTTTGAGTCTTGAAGACGGTTCGTGCTGCGAGGAGATAAACGGAGATAAACCCGGGTCCTTTTGAACTAATGTTTTCGTTACAGTTCATGCGATTGGATTTCGCAACTTTTTTAGGTAAACTACGAGTGTTGGAAACCATTAAGTACGATTTTTGACTTTGGAGAGAGCACAATACCTTTTGTGAGTTTCTCATTCTTGGTAGGATTGCTTTTTCCTCCAACTTCCCCAACGGCAACGACAAGAAAAATTGCCGAGGTGAAACTGTTCATGTCCGCGAAATTACGGTTTGTTGATTATGACTGAATAAGGATGAAATCTGAAGATATATGTGTTCGACTGGTCACGACGTACTATAAACATTACATCACGCAATCTTCAATGTTCCTTTCTAATTCTTGCGTGACGCTAGTGGTAGACTGATTCCCAGGGTTCTCCCTGCCGCGGGGAGGAAGGAGGAAATGTCCAAGCATGGGTTTCTTTGTGTATGAGAAACCATTTTTTTAGGTGTCTAGAAGATGAAACTACTGATGAAGGTTTGTACAGCTATTTTAGCCTGTAATATCATTTGCATCTTCGTGTGAGAACTCGACTATAAAACAAGTTTTTGACATTTAAAATGATACATGAATGAATCACAGAATATACCGTAGCCTGACCAAGAATTTTGCCGGAACAGTGTTGTCTTGAACGATCAGTCTTCTTCTTTTACCAAGCTAGATTGTATAGATTTATAAATCCTCTTTACGTATATATTAGGTTTAATTTTGAAGAGCTGAACACAATTTTTGGTATTGAATGAAAGAAGATCAAAGCGTTCCTAACTTTCCTTGGATGAGCTGGAGTACCTTAAAGCTAGAAGGACAGTTGTCCATTCTTGACGGCAGAGGGAAATTTACAACCTTTCAATTACTTTACGATGGATTACTTTTTTTAGCTAAGTTTTACTTAGCTTTCCATGAATGCTCTTCTCATAGAAAGATTAGTTCAGTTAACCTTCACTGTCAAAGGGTATTTAAAATGTATCACACGTGGCTGTATTGACCTCCAATAAGGATAAATCGTTGTCGCAGAACACTTCCTTTGGGGACTCTTCCCGTGAGGGTACCATAACAACACTCTCCTTAGACTCCAAAATCCAAGGACATGTGCCAGATAAGGGCCTTGGTGGTGGAGGGCTGGGTGTTCCCATTGTTTTTGGGTCTTTTTGCTTATTTTTTCTTCGACGTTCGACCACTGTAACGAATGGGTTGCAGTATTCGAATGGTCTCGTTAGCATTTCGACGGTTTTTCGTAATTTTCGAACATGTATAAATAAAGTAATGACTGAAATGACGAGGAGGATGGTGAATACCAGCAGCACATAGACTCCCGCGATCTCCTCCATGCATTCAATGGTGGCGACTTTCTGTGCAAAGTTTTTCTGCTCAGCTTCTAAGGGCAATAAATGGAAAGTTAGAGATCAATGATTCAACTGATGAAAGCCACTCGTAGTGCCAAATTTTCACACCATACTTTCTTAAAAAAAAAAAAAAAAAACGCTTACAATTGTCCCTGCACTCCTAATTTGATTTGCGCAGCTACTGAAAACGTCTTCTTTCTGGGGCAGTATTCTCACGTTTTAATTTCATGGTATCTGAGTCGCATTTTGACGCGTGAAAAAACTAAGTTCAACAGACCAAAAAACGTAAGTTCGGAAGGAAAGGAAACCACAGAAGAGGTCGAGAGAGAGCCGACACGGAACAACTGAGGATATGTCGGATAGTTGTGGGTACACTTGTGGTATAATGAGGAGTTTTCTTATCCAGTTCAAAAGATACACAATATGAAAACCCGGAAATAGTCTTCTAAAGAAAGTTCTGAATATTTGGACGTTGATATCGGTACTCGTTTAATTTCTGGTATATTGGCATGCCAAGACTCACTGTCGTCAAAACATTACCTAGGTCAGGTATTGACGTAAATAGGCAGATTTGCTTGTAAAAAATTGGGATTGAACCAAAACAGATTTCCCGTAACTATTTGTGACTGGTCCAAGACTAGCAACCGTTGATTTCATTCTAACATTAGTTTTTAAGCTAAAGCTGAGGAAAGCCATCAAGAAAATGTTCTTTGTGTGACATATGATGCCCTGATGGCGCTTTTAGTAGCGTTACGCAATTAATGATGATGCACAGTTGACATAGAAATTGAAGTTTATCAACAAAGCTATCGTTACATCTCTATGATTTTAATTACTGAAAGTAAAGAAGTTGTTACTGACCGGTGTCTTTTGTGCGGAAAGCAAGCGAACCATTAATAGTTCGAAAACAACCAGTTATATCTGCTTAATATATGAATCAATGACAACAAGGAAATAGTGTCCTCTAGAAGATTCAGCGTTCATTTTGTACAAGATCCTTATTACACCTTGGTACGGAAAAACTCTAAAAGATTCAGCGTTCATTTTGTGAAAGATCATTATACTCACCTTGATATAGAGGTTAAAAATTAAGAATTAGAATGCATGCTTGTATAAATTTTCAAGTTGAGTGCTGGATTTCAATTCTTACCTTTACAACTGCGCACATTTATTCACACAGGGTCAGAAGATCTGTTCTCGGCAAGAGCTCCTTTAGGCTCTCTTTTGAAACTGGAACATCCTTCCACGAAAGTCACACATGATGATAGCCATGCTCATTCGCGTGTGTTACAAAGGCGCATTTCCAAAACAGTCCTAAGGCCGGGCGGAAATGAATGCCCGTCACGTGACTTAGTAGGTCAAACTTCAAACTCGTGTGAGCAGAGATAAAGATTTAAATGACAGTGCGCCCAATCTTAGAAGCATCTAATAGAATTCCCTCCCTCATTTCCGTGTGTAATCACATGAAATTGAGGAATGTGCCAAAGACAAGGATTAACTATGAGGTGGGTGGAAAATGAAACCTTAAGAAACGGTAAGTGCGAAGCTTTAAGAATCTAAATCGGTTCTTTAGGATCTTAAAAAATTCAGGATGATTTTTTTTCGAGTTCGTCAAATGAAATTTGTTAGTCGTCTCATCATTTCCTTTAGTCTCGCGACCTGAATGCGTCTCAGGGGTGACATTCTAGGAGAAACTCGATGCAAGTCACTCATAGAGGTTACAAGATTAAGCTTATCCATAGGTAACTAACGAAACTAAAGTAAATACGTTTTAAGGTGTCTACTTCAGAACGTTTTCCTTGGACTGTCTCGTTTACAAGGTCTCAGGAAAACTTTTCAAAGTTAGGCGGCTTTCGCAGGGCGGATAAGGCTCTTCAGAGCTTCTTGGGGAAACATCTTCCCGTGGGTCTCTGAAAATTTCCTCGTAGGGTGTTATTTTCAATTCATCTAACCTGGTGAGTTCTTGACAAGTTTTTCATGTCAAAAGTTCTCGTTCAAAACCTGCCATGTAAGGTTTTGGAAAAGGAAGATTTTCCATCGGTCATAGATAATTTGTCATTCTACGTTGCTAAGGAAGATAAATTAGGGGAAACGTGTAAAAGAAAACTCGGTGTTGTAAAAACGACTTTATCCTTTTACCGCAAGAAAGCTACGCGAAAAAAAACAAGAAAGCCTCATACCATCGAGCCACACTAAACAATTACAGGGTTTGACATAGTGCAGTGAGAATTAGGACTGAAATTGAAATTTAACGATCATTTTGTTTTCACTTAAAACTTTACATTTTTAAACAAAAAGTGAGAAATCGTAAATATCGTCACGGCAGGACTGATTTGGCTGTGGTATCCTTCTCTTTCTATCGCAACACGATCATAAATATGTTTTGGCAAAATAGTGCTCATACTCGGCATAGTTGACGAGATGAAGATTATTTAAGCATCGTGGGTAATCCTTCCCTTACAGATTTTCTCATTAATTAAATAATACACCTGTCCTGACCGGTTTACCTTCAGGAAAGGCGATAACACTACATGCTGCAGTAAGTAAATTTCGTGCGAAGTGACCCTTAAATACACAACTGGTGCTAAGATGTTTAGGTATCAAAAACTGAGGGCAGTGATGTTTTGAGCTGAGTTATTGTGATCTTTTTTTAGCCTTGCCGAATACAAAAGCAATTGGAAATTTTAAAAAGTTCCCCCAGCTTCTTCGCAGTAGTCTCAGTAGCGTGATTGATGTTGTCGGTGTTTTACGCATGCACAGAATCGATGATTATGCATGTGCACTCCAGTCTTTTGCCACTGAGTCAATAAGTAAGCTCTGAGAGACAAAATCTTTAAACAGAAAAAAAAATCGTACGATGGTTGATAACTAGCCGTGAAAAAGATGTCGACCACAAAAAGTTCTCTGTTTGCGCTCTCGAAATGCTCGGTGAAATGCATGGTTACACAGTACGATGCTATGGCTGAGGCAAAGACACTCTCCAAATACAAAAAACTAACAAACAATACTTTATTTGTTTATTTAGCCTGCAAAAACGAATTATGACATTTGTTACATTGTCCATGACCCATAAAACAAAAACGAACACATTTCTGGCACAGAAGAAAGGTGTCACCTAAAAATAAGTTGGTTCCAAACTTTTGTCGCGATAATAAGTCAGTTTTTCAATCATTGATTGCATCGTTTCTGAATTAGCAGCGGAAGTGTCAGCCTCAGTATGGTTAAGTATAATGGGCAAGAATTCCAAGCATGGCTTCATTCGGTTCAGGTTTGTATTAAAGCCATTTATTCTCTTCGGCAATTCTTAGTAAGACATTCTTCTCATCTAAGTTCACCAATATCCATAGTGTATGATCTGTGGGGCAGTTCAGGGTTATTCAAATCCGCCATATCGCCCCAGTTCCCGTATATTGGCTCGTTCACTGCCCCATTTTCGCAACTCTCTTGTTCATTGCCATCGTTGCTATAAATTGGTTGGTCGTTCTCGAATACACCATCGCTGCCGGTGGAGGTGCATCCTTGGTCGGCATTAGCACCTGATTGGAAAGCTTGATTGACGTATCCCAAGGCAATAGTCTCGGTAGTCGAGCCATCGTTCTGAGCTGCAGTCTCTTCACCAGGCCTGGTAAGGTATGTGATAGTTTCATCCGGTTCTGAATGTATCGCAGACCTCCTGTTTGCTGGCTTTGGTTGGCCTGGTTCCACAGTGTAACGGGTTGCGGACGAGCTCAACCTTTTCATGTCAGTCTTACCTTTGATTCCTCCCTCTTCCATGCCACCTCTTATGGGTTCAGCGTAAATGTTTCCATTTCTTGCGAGTTCATTCAGGTCCCGACGGATTCGCCTCACGGTGATGCACAGGAACACAACAATGCAGAAAAGAAGTGCGCAACACCCACACAATGCAAAAAGGAATTTCTGGATCAATTCTTCCATGACCTGCAAGTATAATCCTTACGATAAGTCTCGGGATTTATTTCTTTATTACTGTTATTATTATTATAATTATTATTATTATTATTTGCTTATCGTTGACGACCAAGGAGCTGAGTGGTTAGCGCACGTAAGGCACCACATTAGGAAAATAAGCGTTTTCATTCAAAATGAAATAGCGTCAAAATTATTCGCGATATCCCATAAAAGTAAACATTTTTTCCAATTTATTAAACACTGATTTCGTATATTTATTGCATTTTTATAATTTTGATCATTCTGAACAACGCCTTCCTTTCTGCTCTCAAATTAATTTTTGCATTATTTCCCCCGAGGTAAAAAGGATATCAAAAAAAAAATTTCAGAATTTGACAGATCTTCATCTCTTTTACTACACAGGCAATTTTCAGGTAAGGCAGAAAAGTTTTGTCTTAAAGGTTCACTAGTTCGTGCTCTGGCCGGTTCGTTGTGTTGCGTTCTTGAGCAATATGCCGCTGTAACTCTCACAATGCCTCTCTTTACTCGAGAGTACAAAACGGTTGTAACAAAAAGACAGGAAAAATTAGAGAATTGCTGTATGGAGGTTTACTCGCGATAGATTAATATCCCGTCCTAGGAGTTAACAATACCCGTAGTCTCATAATGTTAACGGATCTGGTAAGACAAGCTTCAGCATTTTGAACTACATGTCACTCATGACTTGCTTGTTAATTGCTACGAGCGAATCTTTCTTGACGTTACTGTTTGCCATTACTTCTTTTAGGTGAGCTAGTTTACTCAGCGTAGTAAATAAGTAAGCCGAAATTTTGCTCAGCTAGCAGAACGAGCATTTCTTTCTTTCTTTTTTTTTTTTTTAACAAGCTTTTTCAAGGCTTGCGGAGGCACGCAGGCTAAATGCGCGTTAAGTTGACTTTTGCGGTTGGCTTCGTTTTATGCAAAGGAGAAATAACAGTAAGTGAGCATTAAGAAGATTCAAACACAATCCAATGACGAACTTGTGAAATTTATACCAATTTTTTTTTAGATGCGAAAACTGTCGCGACGCTATTGCCTTCTAAAATTGAAATAGGTTGTGGTATAGTTCCAGCCTGTTGTGTAAGGATCTTATTACAGTGCCTTGCTCTTAAAAATGTGGTTTATGCGACAATGCTAAGTTATTATTCTGCTGTGTAAGGGATATTTCTGGAGCATCACGAGGAAATAGAACGCATTTGCATGCTAATGAGTCAATATGCGTTGCAACGGCCATATTTGTATAATGTTTACAAACATCTACGCTACAAATTGTACGTATCACTTAATTTCGCTTAATTATGTTAAGACCGTTAGCACTCCTTTTTAAATATTTCCATCTCAAATATTCCTTTACCCTTTTTGTTTACCCTAGAAAACTCTTGTGTTGCGGTTGTCTTGTAGAGGATCGAAATTGTCTTCTGCTCAAAAATGCGCTCAAAATCGCGGCCTAATTTCTCTCTGGAATTTAATGTAGCGCCAAATTATGTAAAATCGAAAAAGTACGTTCATTCTGAGTATGAAAAGTATTTTTCGTGTTAGTCACTTCCTTTTCAGCTGCAGCGGATGCCTTGACTTGAACTACACAATATTTTTAGTATTCGCGTTGACAATACATCGGTTAAATGCGTCATAAAAAGAAGAGAAAAAAATTATGCATTATGCAGCAGGTATGCGGACACTTCTTAAAAGGCAATCAAATCATAAATACTCTCCATTCTCATCAGTGAAAATTAAACAGGCATCGGCAGGCATCTGCTGCAGTAACAATGATTTGCGAAAATTTACTTCGCGACTGCCTCTTTGTAATTGATCTGCGCATCCTGATTACCAAACTTCCGTTCCTAATTCAAAAGCACTCATATGACTGATACAAATATCGAAAAAAAGCTGGCGAAAATTCACTTTGAGGCCTAATAGGAACATGGATTTAAGCATGATAATCAAAAGCCAAATTTCTCTCCGAATTAATATTTTCTGGCTTAAATGTTAAGTTCAGGTTTTGCTGGTTCATCAAGTAAAAACCTCAGGAAACCTGAAAAATCGGTGACTTAGATTGTAAACTACATCAAAGTTACAAAGTTTTTTTAGAACGTTTTAAAAGAGGCAGTCAGTTACAGACAAATCGCGCGACAGTCCCGCGAGATCAGCTCTAAGCGATGGTAAACGTCTCGATGCTCCTCTTTATTTGACCTAAGTAGAGAGTAACTGATACATTTCGATTTTGGAACAAAAAATAGTGTAGTGCATGTACTACATCTTTCGAAACTGGTCATCAAAGAAAATAAAATGCAACAATAATGCATATTTCATTTTGTTTACGTCTGTCTTTTCGAGGTCTTTGACATAACGCATTGTACTTGATTCATGACTGAACGCGTAAGTCTTTATTCAACTTCAAGAAGCGCAAAGATGTCAGACTCAACATGACGAGACATCCTTTCAGACGAAATTGAGCGAAACCGAAGACATTAAAAGTTAGTGATTGCGCTCGTGTCGTGTTCATTAGTACAGTCCATGACAGGGAGGAAATAACTACTCTATGTCAACTTTGATTCTATTAATAACTGAGATGGTACATGAGGAAATGGAAACATGACTATGGATATTTCTCCACGAATATCTAGTTCAGAAGGACAGATTGTCAGTCCTAATCTATAGGCAACCTTGAAGAGTCTACTTTGCACCCAAACATATATCGTACCTTATGAGTGAAACCCGTATATCAGCCAATGTGAGTTGACGAAATTCTAGAAGTTACGGCTGATAATGAAGCCGGCCGTTTTTTCGCGGCAACAGGTGGTTGTTTTTGGTCCAAGATGCAAGACCACGGACGACAAAACTAGCTCGTGAAAAGCGAATTGTCGATTGGAGTTGTTTGCGACTTGAGGCGACGACTGCCAAAGGAAACTGGTCGGCAAGCTGGTCTGAGGAATGCGTTATCAATAATACTATCAAGTGTCGTTCCACCAGTCAAAGACGTCTTCGGCTGATTCTTTACTTCTAAGAATTTCAGGATCCTTAAGGGCTAAGTCTTTTGCGATATTTTTCTACCGGTCTTACTGAGGCGACAAAGGCTTTGTCCTGCGCTATTATTGCCGGTGTGAAATGCGAAAACTCATAGGGAATAACCCCTTTGACTTTAAAATATTTGACAGGCATCAGTTACGCAAGAGTGAGAACGATATATGAATTTTAATTGGATGGAGATTAAGAGCGGTCAAAAAACAGGAAGTCTATCGAAACAATGCTTTTGCTGTATGTATCAGAGTTCAGTTTATCCAACCATATGTTTTCCTCACTGATTTTTTTTCCTTGAGATTTTGACCGATTTTTTCCCGATGTTGATTAATTAAGCTTCAGGTAAAATTATCGAAACGCTATATTGGATTGAGCTTGACAGAGCGCAGCCAAAATAGCCGGAAGCTCCTAAAATATCTCTAATACCCGATCATAATTTCCAATATCTTATCTAAATGACCACAGCGACTGCTAGCTAGTTCGCGTATTCATATCGAATAGTTTCGGGTTTGTTTCCGTGGTAATAGGGATATCTTTTGACAACATGACAATGTAAAGACTTTGGAATTTAATTCTCGAAAACTGAAAGGGGGTTACCCGCATCTTGACCTTTGCTGAAACAATCGCTGAAACAGGTCTGATAACTTTGTAAACAAGCTTGTTTTTGGGGGCGAATCACAAAAATTCGAGCATACTTCATGTAATGGTACTTTCTTCACCTTACATGAACTCAAGCTCTAACATTTTTTATAACCATGCCATTTTGCATTATTCGCAAAATTTTGATACATGCATGTTATAGAACAGCTTCGCGAAATCGAATTGATTGTATATCATCCGTGTAACGTAACTTTTATGTATTATTTGGTTGGCGTTGAAGGAAAAATTATGATAGTATGTAAAGGCTTTGAACTGTTCTCTGTTAAAAGATTGTATAGGTTAGGGAAGTAACGGAAGAAAACCAAAGCTTATGACAATAAATGTTAATACGCCGGGATTTGTCCCAACAAGTCAATACAACACTGCTTGTCACAGAACACAAATGAGCACACAACCGTCTGAAGTACCATTATTGTTCGGTTTCTTTCAACAAAACACTTACGTCAGCAAATCGCGAGACAGTATAAAATCATCACCTTCATTTATGTCTGCTTGAAAGATATCAGAAGTCACCTCTCTCGCACATCACGAGCCTATTTTTCCTAACTACAGTGACACTTTTCGTATTTTTGAGACATTTTGACTCATGGCTCCTAACTGGAAACACCTTTGTGACGATATTTTTCTCGAGGCGCCGCGATAGCATGACGCGTGTAGCTTTTTGGAAATGACGTCACTTCAATTGCAGTTAACTGACCCCAGCCGTTTTTGTTTTCGAGGTGTCTCTTTTACCCTATGTGAGCCACAGGGTTTAAGGGTTGAATAGTTGTTTCAGAGATCTCTTTGAAGAGAAGAAGAGACAAGAAAAGAGAAAAGAGACAGTAGAAGAGACTGAACAAGAGAAGAGACAAGACGCAGTTTTCGGAAAAAAATACGAAACCTGTACAGAGTCGGATGGTTATTTTTTTAAAGGAATATGATAGTATCGAAAGTATTCCAGATAGCTGGCTCTGGATGCTAATAGAAGGTTATGTATGGATGATGTAAGTGCGAAACTGAAATAGCCGTATTTGCCAAAGTACCAATCCTGGGATGCACAGAATGAATATTCCGTTTAGTTTGGGATTAATCAATTTCATAATGAAAAACAGTAGTCTTTATTTACAAATGAAATTAAGCATAATTGAGATAGGTAGAGGCAGAAATTCCATGTTGCGGTGAAGGAGATCGTCTGAGGTTAATTGAGTGATTCATTATCTGGACTGGGTGTTTTGACGGTATTAAGGAAGAGTGTTACCGGTAGAAACGCGAGCGTTTTCCCTTTCATTTGTCCTTACAAATCCAACTTATCTTTAGGCTGCCATTCTTCCCTGGAGATCTCAAGCAGTAATCATTGATGGATTGTAACGTGTCTACAAGAGCAGAGCAGTGGCTGGGATTAATTGTGTCACTTTTTAACCACAACGTATATGAGTTTAAATACAAGTACAAGTAAGAATGTTCCTTTCTGAAAAATTATAGGGGCAAAGGCCCCCCTTCCACTCCTTAAATGAGGGGATCTAACCCGCTATATCGCCATCTGCAGTCGCCCAAAATTTCTAATCAGCACGCAGAAAAAAAAACGTTAGCATTCTCCAATCATAGTGTCGTGTAGCTGTCGTCCAAAGATGATCTACGCAATCTTTACTGCAGGTCGCAGTTCCATTTTTCCATTAGGAGGCTCACCAGCTGCACCTCGTGTTCCCCCACCAGAGCTTAAAGCAAGAATTTAATTAATGGTTCGATTGATATCTTGTCCGTAACGATATTGCAGATATTAAGCCAAATTTCATCATAATTAGCACTTCCGCATTTGCAGATAAAGAAAAGTGGCGAACGACTGACGTTATTAGATCTGAACAGGTGACAAAATATTGTGCCTTATTTACTGATGAAGACCTCTTAGCGAAAACCTTTCCTTGTGGGTGTACACCTACTACTTCCAAAGACATGTGACTGTATTTCTTACAGCCATGAATCATTTCAGTTCTGCAACCGATGATAATCAGCTTCTCCAGGAAAGTTGCCGGCAGGAACGATACCAGCTGGTGCCTTGGCAGTCAACCTCCCCAACCGCAACGAATCACGATTAAACAATCCAGATCTTGGTTCCGGCATTTTATCAAACAACGAAGAACGCTTTTCTATGTTTTTCTTTCAGTATCGAAATATTTATCATTTCTTCACTGGGTTCATTCAGCTTCGAAACCTTCGTTAATGCTGTCAAGGTTTTTCTTTTCATTTTCAGCGTCTTTAGTTGATTTTTTTTCTCCCGCCTGTGCTTCCGTGTTTATAAAGTGTTCCGGTATCGGTGGATGTGGATTCCGTGGTAGCAAAGTAATAGATTCCCCAGCGGTCGGCCTAGCACCAGCTCTTAGAGGCAACATATCTCTCAAGTGCGGCGATCCTAGCGTGTTACGCCGGTTGTTAAACTCGATTTGTATCTGACGAATATCTTCGAGTTTGTTATGAACTTTCTGGAGGTGTACATGGAGGTAAATTGCGAAGATACACAGGAGAACCTGGCATACGCAAACCAACCCTAATAATGCTAAAACGATGTACGTTAGATCTTGAACGTCCATGGGTGTTTTTGACGGTCTGAAAACGGAAAAAGGAAAATGCAAACAATCGCTCTGATTATGTTAATTTAAGGTTGATTTACTATTCATGGTTCATCCGCAGTTGGCAATCGCTACGTAATTACGAAAGCGTAACGCTCCTTCATCGCTTTCGATTGCATGAGGCCATTCCACACAAATAAAGCCGAGAGAAATTAGATTTATACCTACATCCTTTTCAAATAGAATCCAGCTAACACGGTAATTAGTTTATGAACTAAACTGCAGCTGTATGTATTAAACTTAAAAACTGAAAGAGCAGGCGGAGATGAGCTTCCACAGTGTGAGCTTCATTTTTAACAGTCAAATTAAACATTCCCAATAATAAGGTCGCTGTGTGGGTAGAAACACTTCGATTTGAGTTCTATATAAAAGGCTAAACGCTAGCTATAACTATATAAACAGTGTGATATTAGTGGTATAACTTAAGGCTGTCACTTAACGGAACTGCTTCAGTGCCTCGATTGTAGGATCAACAACTACAAAAGCGCATCGTAAAATTTCATTAGTTTTTCATCAAATTTTCACGCATCATCTCAGATGACGAAAGATTTTGAAGCGTGCTGAAATACTTTCTCTCTGAAAAACCTACTTACTAGTTAACTCCTAGCAACGAATCCGTTTGGACCGCAAAATTGTTTGCCTTTGGGTAGCCAAAGCGTTACAAGCATTATAATTGCAAAACAGACAAGTAATTAGGGTAATTTTAAGCTATTGTTCAATGCAAGACATCAATACACGTCTTTATTTAGACGTGATAAATAATTTATATAGCAAGAAAGTTTTAAAGGTTTTTTATGGCTCACTGATTCACTCAAACCATTTTTCCAACAGCAATGCAAAAGATTGCGCAGCATAATGATTTTAAGGAAGAAAAACGCTTAAGTTTAGGTGTAGTAAAGTTCTATTGGAAGAGCTTTACGTACGCATATCTTGCTTACTAAAGCTTATCGTTACTCTTTGAAAAACTTAAGCCCTACAAAGAGTTAAAATGCGACCAGAGATTAAACAACTATATTCTTTACTGATGAGGGCTCGAAATCATTAGTAAGTCCCATTTAGGGTGAGTTATGTCCTCTTTAGCTTTGTCTGACTCTTTGTGACCACTTCTTATACAACTAAGATTTGCTTTTTAAGTTAATCTAGTCAAAGTGCGTCAAAGGCAGAAGGCAATACTCTTGCCTTCTACCTTTGACATTCGTTCGCTTTTCCAAACCAGAATTTTGGTCTGTTGGTTCTTTAGATCACTCGACATATCTGGGCCGTAGCCAGCATGAGGTAAGACGAGGCAATTGCCTCGTCTTGATTTTGGCCCAAGATTGACTTTTCTGAAGAAAAATGCCACGGAAAATGCTTAACAGAGCATTTCTGAGTCTCTAGATTTCAAAATTTTCGGGGGGGGGCATGCCCCCATCCCCCTTCCCCCCAGCGGCTCGCGCCTTGGGCGCTCGAAACTTGCCTTGTCTTGTTCTGAAGTCTGGCTACGGCCCTGCACGTTTAGAAAAACTTGCATTACAATGCCCGATTCTTCAGTAACTTTCTCTACCAAGTTACACGAACGTTAAATGGCCAACTCCATATTCTTACCCTAGAATTATTTTTAACGACGACCACTGACCGAAAAGTCAATGAGAAGAGAATAAAGGATCGTTTTACTGACTGTCCTGTTACACGAGGTTAGCCAAGAGGGCGTTGAAAGCAATTGCTTTCGTACTTCCATTTAAATATCAATAATGTCGCTATTAATGTAGATTGGAGGTTCATGCTCATCAGGTTTCAGGGCAGGGCCATCGTTATAGTTGATTAACCCTTGTTGGAACGGAAGGTTGACGTAGAATGGTTCTTGTTCTGATAAATTGTGAACTTCCTCGTGATCATTGTTGGTAGTTCCCGCTTTCTTTTCCGACGCACTTAAGGGTATTTCGCTGTAAATTTCGTTGCCTTCTTCATCGAGGTTGGAGTAAACTTGCTCAGGTGTGTTTTCATTATTTTGACCTGCTGCTGTCGCATGGCGCTTATGTTCTTCATTCTTAACACCGCATTTATTTTCATGCCTTAGATCAGGGTTATCGGCGCTAGCTGTGTTTCCTTTGTGAAGAATGCTTCGGAGTTGGGAAATTATATCTGACGAGTCACCATTATCTGTCACGGGTTCCTTTTTTCCACCGTCCACTGACGTAACTACCATTTCATATTCAGAGGTGTTACCTTCACTAATACCTGGCTTGTTGCAATTTTGATTGCTCTTTGAAGCTGCTCCCGTTTTTTCTTGAGCAACACTAAGCACAGTCCTGTCATGCTTCACGACGCCTTGCTCATGTCGGTTTAGATCCTCGGGATTATGCGGAAAGGACATCCGTTTAGCCGTCTTTCCTTTTCCTCTATAGTCTTCATTAATATTTCCTTGTTTCTTAGCAGGGTAGCTGTGTCTCACAGCAGTTTTAGCCCTTTTTTCAGGGTTCTGAGTCTCGCTTGCTCTGTTCGTAAGAAAGCCTCGTAGCTGAGAGATGACACCAGTTGACTCAATGTTTCGCGTCACTTCTTGGGTGTTGGCCGATGGGGGCATTTTCTTGCCTTCATTGACTGAATCCACTATAACCACTGACTCATAGTTTGAAATTTCCCCATCATTTACCTTGGACTTGCCTTTGGAATGACCCACGTCCTTAACAACTTGGTCATTGTTTCTTTCATTGGTGTTTTTCTTGGACTTAACTGCTGTTTTAGGGGAAGATGCGATGTGTTGTTGGGCGAGTTGTTGTGAATCACAAACGTCAAGAATCACAGGTACGTTCCATCGGTCTGCCTCCTGGCCAGGTCTGTTGCAATGGGATTCAGCTTCATTGGGATTCTTTACATGAGGTGAAGAATTAAACGTTTTCTCCTTTACCGCGGAGTTCACTCTACCGTGCTTTTTCTTGGAGAGGCGTGGTTTCGGCTTAGGCCGAGTTTCACTCGTGACTCTTTTCTCTGTAATTTCGCCCATTGGAGGGCTTACCTCGACACCACCCTCTAGAGACGTGGATGGTGCTTTGCAGTAATTTTCTGAGGCATCTCTGCAACCCTCTTTAGTTAGGACCTTTTTGTCACTCCTCTCTGCGTCTTCCTCCTGCCCTCCTTGAGTTGAGGTTCCATTCTGCACTTCTTCAGCAGGGGGGCTCGTTACGTTTGATAGTTCTAATAAAACTTCATTTGTTTGTTTCCTATCCTCAATCAAAACCACACATTCCAGTTCACCCGTTTCAGTAGCCTCTGAGTTTTGCGGAATATCGTTTCCATTCTCTGTACCCATCTCTATTACAGTATTCTCATTTACCTGACAGTCATCGTAGTCTGCAAGGAGATTTAAGTCGTCCGTATTGCCAGCACTTACAAAGATAATTTTTCTGTCTTGCTTCGCGTCCGTCGCGGGGCGTTCACTTAAAGAGACTCCCACAATTGCAGGATTTTCATCCACTATTTGCAGGTATGATGCCACTGGGGTCGAGGCATCCGGAATTACTTGTTCTTGGCTATTTGATTCATCGTCTACTTCTCTGGCATCCTCTTGAGACTGACAAGCAGATTGTTCCTCATCCGGACGGGGTCTATCTTCATCGTCGTAGACATGTGAATAAACAAAACCTCTGGGGATATGTTTCCAAGTGTTATTTTCGTCGGAACCTTCCGCTTGTTGGTTGAAAATTACCAAAGAATCGGAGAGAGCGTTCGGAATTTCGTGTTGAGTCTCTGTTGCTGGTGTTAAAGGTTCATCGCTGGGTGCTAGTTTGCAAAGAACGCTCCACTCGTTTGATATGCTGTCTACACGGCTTTGTATTCTTCTCAACCAGACAACCAGAAACAACACAAGCGGCAGCAACAGAGAAAGGAAACAGAGTAGAACTACGGATAGTTTTAAAATAGTTTCCTCATTCATGTTTTCTGGAGTCGTTTTTATTCTGTCGAAAGAAAAATATGAAATATTACTGTAAAGCTGTACGGCAGCTCAGCACTAATAAATCTTGCTTAAAAATTTTATTTATTTTTTTTTTTGGTTATCAACTCACCTACTGTAGCTTCCGTATAAAGGAGAAAGATTTGGAAGCCATTTCTTGAATATTTCCACAATTGAAATTTTTAACCCTCTAACTCCTATGAGTTACTAAGACAGAATTTCTCCTTACAATATCAATACAATATCAACTTGATAAGTGATGAGAATAAAGGAAAAGATCAATTTGGGAATAATTAGTTGATTCAATATTAAATTCGCAGAACTAACATTATAAGAATTGTATGGTTGGCAGTAAGGAGAATTACAAATTTGATCTGAGAGTTAAAGAGTTAAAACGTTTGTTATATTAACCTTCGAGTTGGCTATCTTAAACGCTTAAGTGGATTTTCACTATTTTTTTCCCTTGAGTGTGGCTGAAGATTAATTTTGACCGAAAATGATAAGGCAGAGTGAAAATGAAACTAGTACGTTAGAAGGTGCAATTTTATCCGACCACAGAAAAGTGAGAACACCCGCAATAATGCCGAATGTACCAAATGCAGCTTAATTTTCACCTCCACTCGGAGTAAAGTTGTTACGTTGTCATGCTAGCCTATTCTGGCCGCGCGCCCTCATGAATGTTTGTGACATCTTGAAGTACTTAACATCAGCGCAGCTTGATTGGCGTCGCCGTGTCGAACTATTTCAAATATATCATTATGCAAGGCTGATTGAGTTTGACATTCATCATGGACGGTAGTTCCACTTTTTGTCATTTCCCTTAATCAAAGTCTGTCTTTTTTCCTTTTTTTTTTCTTTTCTTTTCTTTTTTTAATTAAATAGATTTTTTCCCCTTTACTTTCCGATTCAGTGAAACCAAATACATAAATGATTACAAAGCAGGAATATTGAAATATGTAGATAGATTCTTTATTTTCTGTCCATTATAAGCTATCGCTCGCTGTTTCCTCCACAAGTGCGTCAAAACTAGGGAGATTTATTATTAACTTTTCATCTTAGTTTGTTTACAGAATTGGAATTCTTGCCAACATTGATACGAAATGCTATCGGAGTATTTTAATCCATTTTGACCTCTTCATGACTTAAAACTTAATCGGAGTAATTTTGTCTCCAAAGAGAGGAAAGAGCCGCGCATCGCGGTGTGTATTGCATGTGCAAAAAATGGCAATTTTTCTCCAGTACGTAAACATGTCTAAACAGGCATATGAATTTGGCAGCCTTATTTCGTAACACAGTGATTAGTGAGTTTGACCTCTTACTTAATTGGAATTTTGTGGTTTGTGTGGTCTTCGAATTTATCAATTGTAGATGCTGCTAATCCGAGATATGCACGGACTTGACACGCTATTTATAAACATTGAAGGTTGATGGAAAATGATATCGAGTGTGCTTTTTTCGTAGTAAACCTGTGTGTCATCATTCAGTGCAGTGCACACTGTTAATCAATCTGAATTCTAATTCCACTAATGTACAGCAGATCGCAAAGTGAATGATCGAGTAAGCCAAGATAAGATGATACCTACACGAGTTTTCGTTGCCTCAAAAACTTTTGGAATTTTCCGCGTATGTGTCAAGTGATTCTTCCATACCTCAGAGGGTGTAGCTGATTGCAGCGCGATAACGAGTGAGTAGTTCGAAAGGAAGCGGGGGGGGAAGGCAAAAATACCAAAGACCTTTGCCCCTGCTTGAAGCCACGAAATGTATCACTTTGCACTTCCTGTGTTTCACCACTCTTATTCTTGGTCTTGTATTTGGGAGAGTATTAATCCATGATAGATCGTTTCACATGTGAAACTAACGCAGTTAATGGTTAAGATTTTTTGTGACATTACATAACTGTGCAATTCCTCGCATTCGGCGTCGTAAATTAACTGTTCTCTAGCAAAGCATTTAGCACGATGGCTGTTATCATCTGTTTTGTGATACTTACCCTTTTCCAATATTTCTTTACTTTAGGAGGTATTTTAAAAGCGACTGGACGCATTGCTTTTGAACATCAAGCCTTTAGTCGAGACATGTCTTCTCATCACATTGGAAGGACATTCTACACAACCAGTTGCGTTGTCACTCAAAACAACACGGAAGACGACAGTTCAGCGGGTCAGCAGCAGCAGCCAGTTGTTTGTGACCGCGTTAGCGAAACGAAACGAAACGTCAAAACTTTGGAAGATATTCGCTTTTCCTGATAAGGGATAAAGGATACAAATACAGGTGCACCGCACTCTTCCAGACAAAACCTGCAGTATTTAAAACAACGGTACAACGGGTTCATTTTGGATGCCTAAGGCATTTCGGCGACGAATCTGTATTCCCTCACAGATCTAAGATCCGGTTTTCAATTCCTGAACGGTGCAGATGAGAAACGATATGTAATTCTTTATGAACTGAAAGCGTGACTTTCCCTGATTTTGGCTTTCTGACAACAGAAAGGTTTTGTGGGAACGGAAGTTTTTTTTCCGTTTCTAAGAGATATTTAGCGGCTTGTCTGCAATAGTGGCAGTCGATCCGGTGACAGGGTAGGTTTGTCAATGATGTTCGTAACCATTGCAGACATTCCTACCATTTAAAATTACAAGTTATTAAGTCTTGAAGCGATTTGTCCACCCGTAGAGTGAAATTTTTTCAAGGTTTGCGTTGTCAAAGACTGGGTGTCAGCGCGTTCTTTAAGGGACCGGTAGGTATTTATCGCGTGAGGGGGGGGGCCGGCGGAAATGGGGGATCACTCGGTTTCCAGAGGGAATGGAGGGAGATCAGTCGTTGCCAGCAGAGTATAAATTGAGGACTGTAGAAAATTAACTGCCAATGAGGGAAAGATCACAAGAATATCCCAGAGCTTTATGGGGGATCAGGTAAATTTTGTTGTGACATACCCCAAATCCTCCAGCCCCCCTCCCCCTCCCCCCGAGGCAATGAGACTGGTTGCTAAAAATTCTTTTGAAATGCCATTGCAGTCGGGTTGTAGGAAGTGGAGAAGGACAAGATTTTTTCAGCTGCTGCGTCATAAGGTGGTTTATTTTTTTTGCCATGATGAGAAGTTTGAACACTGTCACAGACGAGGGTAACCTCGGGTCAATAATCTTTAATTTCACCGAGATAAGCCGAAATCATCCTGCATGGACGATTCTGCTCTCAACAAGGCGCAATGCTTCTCGTTTTACCAAGGCTTTTTAACTCTTTGAGGATCGAGCGAGAAGAATTGAAAATGCTGAAAATTTTTAGTCGGCCTGCGATTTGTTGTTAAATTGAACATTTTGTTTCTGTGTTGGAGAAGAGCAACTGAAAAAACCCAGTGTCGAGGAGCGAAATTCGTTCTGGTGGCACATGAATTTAATAGTAGCGAGGACGTGGTGGGCGAAACAACAAGCCTTTGAATTTTGCTTAATAGTTTACTGTATATTTTACTACATATTTGGGACACGATAGTCATTTAAATTCCCTATAATTTGAAAAAATGCGCCAAGCTCGGAAAACCACCGGGCCATGTTACAACTAATCTCTTTTTATCGCCTACGAAAGGTTAAACTTTGTATTTATAGGAAAAAAAGCTGTTAGTTGTTGAAAAATTAAATCTCAGTTCGTTCGATCTCCGACTATTATTGTGATTGGAATAAATTCCTCACCACTTCCAATTATTTGTTTTAAATAATTTCAAATTCTGGACTTATTTTGCTTTTTTTTGGACTCCGACACGTATTGAATATATTTCGGTAATGTGACAAACGTCTTAATTCAGAGGAAAATTGAGTTACTGAATGATTTTGGGATACACCTAGAAACGCATTCATAAAATCCCAAATCTAACAAGGAAAAGTTTGGGAAAAGTCACTATGTAGCACTTAACTACTTACAACAGTGCTCCCAGTTGCCGCAACAAATAAACTTTGAAGGATACTGTACAAATCAATACAAGTTATAACTATCTCCTACATCATGTTCGCAAATCACCAAACAATACTTAGAGTTAATAAACCCCCACGGTCCTAAACCTTCATTATATCATTATCGTAGATCGGGCTTTTATCGATATCTTGAGCAGCTATATCAAAAAGGGAAGAGTCTTCTTGAACGTCACTGTTGGCATAGATGTGGGTATCCTCCGTGTTTTCTTCAGCAGCGCTTTGGATATTGTCTTGATTAACATATATCGCCTCCGGATTGGCAGGAGCCGGCTCTTTGTTTGGATCATTATTGTTGTCTTGAATCGTAGCATAAATGTCGTCAGTGCTGTCCTGATGACCTTGCCCAATGGTGATGTGGCCACGTGAATCATGTCTTTCGGGTTGTTGCTTGTCATCAATTGAGCTATCATGTATAACAGCCAAATAGCCATTGCCATCTTCATCGGAGGGTTTTGTATCAGTTTTAGGTTTACCATTGGGATGACTCTCTTTGTCATTTCCTGGGACATGTACAGAATTGTTGACGTCAGGGGAGCCTTTCCAGTCTTTCACCTTCTCAGAAGTGATGTAGTCATAGTTGTCGTCGTTTCGGTCATCCACACACGCACCCCCATCAGTCGGTGTCTGGACAGTTCCTCGTTGGAGCGCCAGGCTCTCTGTAAGACTACCAGACAACCTTTTGGCTTCAGAGTTTCCATCGTGTTGGACAAGGAGGTACCCAAAGCTATCTTCGTCGTTGCTCTTTGATATTTCACTAAGTTCGATAGCTTTGTCATTTTGAGATTTTTGGATTTCAGGAACAGCTCTGGGTCCAAATGTTACTATCCTCGGTGGCAACTTCGGGGTCAGAGACATACGTTTCGGATCACCGGCCTTGTTCTGACCTCCAAAGCGCTCGCCAGCTTCTTTTCCCTCTTTTTGATTTTTTATCTCTTTTGGTTGAGAGTCCACAGGCAAAAGATACTGTGACTCGTATGCGTCTTCACGAGGAGGAATTCCATTAGCAGCCAATTCTGACGTCTCGGATGGTTTACCAGAACCAAACACCACAAGGTACCCATGGTCGTACTCATTTTGTGGCCCTCCGCCATCCAAGGTTCCATTAGTAGATTTTAGGTTCTGGCTTATTTCGATTTTCTCCCCTTTCCCAGAATCCACTTCTGTCATTTCTTCCCGGAGGTTAGCGTAGGTGTCAGCCTTGGCACCCTTTAAGCTCATGTACATTTTCCTCTTAACTTCTATCCCATTTTTCTCCGGTTGATCACCAGGAGAGTCTTTTATTGTTGGGCCGTCGCCAATTATTTGAATATACGAGTCTTCCTCTTTATCGCTGACTTTTATTTCGTTTCCTATGTTGATACCATGAATGGACCTCTCGTCTTCTGCCACTGTTGTAGAGCAGCCAAATGAAGTTTCCTTCAAGTCTACATCCCCACTGACAATCCATGGTGCGTAGGCATTAGAACTGGTAAGGCGCTTCCAAGGATCACTTCTATTAGAACCTGAAGTGTCTTTGTTGGAGAATATCAAAGGTTGTTCAGTAACCTCAAGTCTGCAGAAATCTTTCCATCTGTTAGAAATACTGTTTACACGGCTACGCAATTTTGCTAGCCAAATAGTAACGCTGACGATCAACACCAAGAGCAGCGCTAACACACATAGAAGAACCAGTAACGCCATGAAAATTAGGTTTTCGTCGATCAAAGCCCCCAACAAAGTACAAAGGCATTTTGCCATCCTAGAAAGAAAAATATTATAAAGAATAAAGAATATATTTTTTGTCAAATGTACTCTAGTGGTAGGGCCCCCCCCCCTCAGTCCTTCCCTTTTCGCGGTCCCTGCATGCATTAGTTGTAGAAGAAATTCTCGTTCAACATGTTCAGACTATACCTCTGACTCAAGGACAGGCGTTACAAATCACCCACACTCTAGAAGGGGGGTTTAATTTCGTTCAGTACGGTCCCAGAGCGTGCGAGACCATGATCGATGCCCTCATTGTACTTTTAAGGGGATATACTTCGACTTATACTAAGGAGCCCAGACTCCTGACCAAATGTGGTTTCTCCTGAATTCGGAGAATCTGAACGGTAGAATTCCGAATAGATTGTTTTGGTGGAGATTAACAGAAACGCAGGTATGTCCATTTAGGATCCAAAAGTGCAGCCTATCTAACGGTCATCCGATGGGAAACTGCTGTAGATATTATTTGAAAATTGAGCCCCTCATCGTTATTTGATCAATCAAAATAATCGAAGAGATGGCTTTGAGTGCGCAACAGCAATGTTTGTTTGATTTTTTCCTGCCGTTCTAAATGGCTGCTATCTGCTTTCCTTTTCTAATTGGCTTAAACCACGCTTGACCTCTTGTTCGACGAACGAGCAGCGGCGTCTTTGTGTTATAAAACATTCCATTTTAATCGGTTTGACTTTTTGATGAAAGGCAATTATACGCAATGGTCACGTTTCATGTGTTTGTTTGCATGGTCTATTCGTTTGCAAAAGTGTTGCCTTCTCAGGTTTAATCCTTTAATCAAAACTCACAAATGACCTCTAAAGTCACCGTCCTCACTCGCGTAAAGTCCTCTTGAGATGATCATCAGGGCATACTTGCTGTGTTAACTAAGCTACGTCGCCTCGTTTCGGAAGCATCATATAAAATTAAACCTCATGGAATTTGTAATTCTTGACTTAAACGCAACAATGACCCCAAACGTCACTATTTTTGATTGTGTAATACACTGCTGAAGTGATTGTAACGGTGCAAATGCCTTTTCTCACGTCTTTAGCACTTTTCTGAAATAGCATAGAACATTGCTTGACTAATAACGAGAATTTTAATTCCAGAGTAGACTGAATACAGGGAATAAAAACTAAAACAACATAAGAAAGAAAGTTTGTCTTTCATTTATGCTGCGATTCAGTCAAATTTAAACTGAAAGTATTTGTGCTCTCAAGGAAGCTTTGGTATTTTAAGCTTAAAATCCACTGATACAACAGGTAACGCCATATGACGTTTTCTGAATTCGTCATGCCAGTCCTGAAAGCTGTTTAGCTTAAATGGAGTCATCGTCGGCTTTGTAAAAATCGCACGGCTTTCACGTCAAATTTAAACACCCACCTCCATGCACGATCAAAAATATTTGGCTGACCTGTTGGCAAGCGCATGTCCGAATTATGAAAATGATTCAGAATGAATTTTATGCCTAATTTTTCTTAACAAGGCGTTGCATCATAGTCGATCCACATGTACAAAACTTCAGCACTTCAAACGGGCTGTTTTCTTTGTTAGTATCTCGTTATATGTATACGTGTGCATATCATGTTTTTTTGTTTACCAAACCTTCTTCCTGCTCGTACATACCAGAGTATAATTTTTGTTAGCCGCACTTCTAAGACTTTTAGGGACCGCGTGTTTGATCGATGAAGGTCGAGGATATCTCCTCGTGCCATCATACGTCTCTGCCAATCGAGTATGGCATAAAGGAGCTTTCTGGGCAAACGATTTTAGCCTCCCAACTATGTGACGCTCTCAAAATGTCACCGACGTATCTCATTTCCGTGTCTCTCAAAGCCGGTGAAAAATGAAATGAATCCTTCATACATGAAGAACTTACCTTACCTTGTAGTCGGATCAAATTATTTCAAGTCCGTTTTCCAAAGGATTTCATGCAGCTTTTAAAATCGAATCGTACGTTCCTTTGTCTGCTAATGACTTTCAGACGATCGACTCAGTAACAACTGTCGTCGAAACAAGAAACCTGATCACAATAACTCGACGAGGTCACCGCTGGTTGAAAACGTCAATCAATCTGGATAGCCAGGGTCCTAGCTAAGAATGAAAAATCATCGCCCGAAGGGAACGAGCAAAAATAGCCATGGGAACGTAAGAAAGGAAATTGAAAGAAAAGGAAGTATTAGTGCGATATCGTCACTCCTTCACGCATCAGTTTTTCCGCATATATTAAAAAGACAATTTTGCCTCGTTTTAATCGTTTGTCGACGGTTTTTTTTGCTTGTTTGTTTTAACTGTAAGCATTAAAAGCCCTTTTCATTGGTAAATCAGTCGTTCTATACACAAAATTATGTCGAAGATCAGGGTCTACTACGACACGCATATTTCAATCCCACTCCAAGAACTCGATTTAATTATGAGCAATTGGTAAGTTTCTCCGCCTTCGCAAATGATAACAAAATTCCAGCAAAATTGTCTTCACCCTTCAGACGTTAATTGAATTTCATGCAATACGAACAAGAAGTTATTTTAATTGCGAACAATGACTCACCAGCTGCATTCCTTGATGAAGAATGAGTCAGAGGGGTATAGCCAGGGGGAGGAGGGGGGGGGCACAGTTTAAAATTTTCTCGCACCTTAGATGAAATGTTTAGTACCCCTGCTCTACATTATCCACTATCAGCGGAATCATTTTCACGCAAAAAGAAGGACATGAAAATGTTCAGGATCGATGCCATATTCTTCGGATTTGCGCGTTGTCACCATCTGGAATTATTGGCTTTGTATTTAGGAACCGGTCTTTATTTATCACCAGTGGG